TACGGGTAAAGGAAAGAATAACGCGGCTGGGTGTGGTGGCTCACACCTGTAATCTCAGCACTTTGGGAGTCTGAGATGGGCGGATCACTTGAGGCCAGGAGTTAGAGACCAGCCTGACCAGCATAACAAAACCCCGTCGCTACTAAAAATACAAAAACAAAACAAAACAAAACAAAACAAACAAACAAAAAAACTGGGTGTGGTGGGGATGCCAGTAATCCTATGTATTTGGGAGGCTAAGGCATGAGAATCGCTTGAACCCAAGAGGTTGCAGTGAGCTAAGACTGTGCCACTGCACTCCAGCCTGAGCAACAGAGTAAGACTGTCTCAAAAAAAAGGAGAAAAAAGAAAAGAATAATGCAACTGTACATACTCATTCCTCCATTCAATGGCATACTCCTTGTGGGCTGGAATCAAGCCATGCATCTCTACATCCTCTTTAATATCTACTATGGTTGGCTAAATTGAGTAAGATAATACCTGCAATGTACTCAGCAGAGTGCCCAGAACACAGTAACAGCTAAACAAATGCTTCTATATTTGCTTTTGTTGTTTTGATTGTAATATGAGTACTATTAGTATAGAATGCGTGGCATAGAAAATTCTTAATATATTTTGATTTTCATTGCATTATACAATAAAATATCATAATGCATACATTTAAAATCAATTTATATTTGAAGAAACATTAAAAAATTACAGAGATCTTATCTGCTTAAGCCACTTTAAATAAGTGCATAAAGTGAAAGATTTCAATTAGTTAAAAATTAGCCAGAAAATTTCTTCTTAGGTATAAGAAAAGTCAATAGACCTGGGATATCTGATTCATAAAGGCAATCTTTCTAAAAACAATGTAAAGTTTTATGTAATATGAAGTTAGGTAAGAGACCAAGTTTCTCTAACCTGATCCTTAGGTAAGAATCAACATTGAAAACTACAGTGACTACTGTATTTTGTAGCTTGGTGTCCATACCATTAGGCAAGGACTGTAAATCCTAAAAACAGAATATTATTTCCTTTAGATTTTCAACAAAGAAAGAATATCAAAACACCCACACACACAAAAAAAATAATCACAGTCTGTTTTTTTCTGATGATTTCAACCATATTAAAGATTATCTTTTCTTATATTTTACAAGCTCTGCAGCACCTTTCCCCCCTGTTACTTTTGTGTTGTATAATTAGCATATAATTATGCACTCTTTCACACTGGAAAGATGATTATTTTATTAATGACCCTTTGAAAAGTTCTTTATTATTTATATTTGAAAGTGAGTTTGAAATCAAAAGGCTTGTATGACTTTTCCTTTCCATCTGTTTAACTTAGGAGATCTTAAAAGTAATAAAAGAGATGGTTATAGATGTCACAGAAAGTCATAAGTTTTCCACCTTTAGAATGAGAGACAGGGTTTGGGAAACAACTGTTGCATCTTCCACTCTTTCCAAATTAAATGCTTGGGTATGTGAAGAACAGGTATGCAACAAAACACTCAAGTTCCAAAAACGACTCCCTATTCTTTACCTTTTCCCCCGTTAGCACCAATAGGACATGGGTCAGAACCAAAAAGCTTCCAGAGTCCAATACAAAAACAGAAGAAGACTGTAATTCACATTTGTAGTAAGTAAAATGTAGGCTCAAAATTAGTCTTAAGTGGAAAAATCACTCAGACCCTGATTTGTAGTCAATTCGGGAAGGTGCCACTCATCTTTGCTGTGGCCATGCAAGCCTTATTACTGTTTCTGGCTGACTGCTATTTATTTAACAGGCTTACACAAGCACTCCAGATTGGCTATGGGCCATTATAAGGGAGAATGTACATTATTGCAAATTTTAATTATTTCTCAAGCCATTTTGCTTGCAGTGATAATCCCATAAAACCAACATAGCTTGAGTAAGCAAAGCAAATAGCTTTTGGCTAAGACAGCTCTTCAGTTACTTTGTAACCTATTCCTACATAACTTCTGGCCTTTCCAATTGTGGCTGGGACCTGCCAAATCAGGAGTTCAATGGCTTTTTGGCTCATGGTGATCACAACCACATTATTGAAAACAGGCGTATGGACAGTAATATCAATGATTAAAATAATGACTCAAATTTGTTTTCAAAAATAGTGTTATTCATGCATGGTGGAAACACTTCTGCTATCTGCCTCTATCCAAGACTTCCACTGTGGGCAAAGTAACACATGCCTAGAGCTATTTTAAGAATTTTTCTTATCTCCTCCACTTTTTGCACTATTTCAGTGGAGATGGACAAGCAGTAATAGCCTGACAACCTTGAAAATGTTTTGCTTCATTTGTAGCATCAGGGAAATTTGCCCAAATTGTTTTGTGGGCCAAACTTAATTGCCCATTTTTGCCTTTCTATTTGGAATGCCATAGTGTTCCTTTGGTTGAAAATGTCTAAGTAGCTCCATTTTCACAAGTAACATTTTTCTTGTGAAGGAAAAAAAGGATAAGAATTTACTTTGGTTGTACTCAAGAAGCTTTTTCTTTCAAGTCTTTCTCTCTCCTCTTACACGTGATGATTTTTCTTTTCAAAATTGGAGTCACAGACTCTTAGAAATGGAGGGGATCTTAAAAGAAACTAAATCTAAACACCTACTATTGCATGAATACCCTCTATAATGTCTTAAATAAGGTCCTCCATTACCAGCTATTCTTTGGGGCAAAAGAGATGAAAGAAAAATAGAAAGTGCTATCCTCTATATAGAGGATAATGTCTTAAAACTAAAACAAATTATAGGATGTAGATGTGATTTTCCCTACTCATGAGTTCTCAGTCTCTCATCCACCTTGTTTCATTGCATTTGGAAGAATTTGTGAAGCAGACACTCCATTTTAAATTTGAGTCATTGAGAATATGGTCAACAGGCCACAAGGGAGTGAAACAGCACTTCCAATTTTTTTCTTTTTTTCTTTTTGAGATGGTAGCGTCTCGGCGCAGGTTGCCCCAGGCTGGCAGTGCAGGTGGCACGATCTGGCTCACTGAACAAGCTCTGCCTCCGGTTCACGCCATTCTCACCTGCGCTCAGCTTCCCAAGTCAGCTGAGGACTACAGGGCGCGCTGCTGGCCACACGGCTCTTGTTTTTGTTTTTTTTTTGTTTTTTTTTGCGTTTTTAAGTACGGAGCAGGGTTTCACTGTGTTGCCAAGAGGATGTGCTTGATTCTTTGACCTCGTGATCCGCCCCGCCTCTTGCCTCCCAAGGTGGCTTGGGATTACAGGCGTGAGCAACACGCGCCAGCCCCCAATTTTTTTTTGTATAAGAATTGTAGACTGCATGGTCTTGACCTTTTCATTTCAATGATCCAGAAAGTTAGACGATATTTTAAGGTCAACCTCATAAGAAAAGACTATAGGATACTTTTACCACTATTGCTCTAAGAATAAGTTAAATTATTATGTACAAAGTACAGTAAAAGATTGGGTTTTGGATGAAACTATGTATTTTGAAACCTGGCTTCCTAATTTAATTAGGCTCATATGTCTTGGGAAGTTACCCGACCTTTGGAAGTTTTCCTTACTCATCTGTAAAATGAGATAATAATATTATCTTCTTCACTGGGCTATTAGAAAGACTAAGTGAGCTAATTCATGTAAAGTATTTTGTTCAGTGTATGGCATATATTTTAAGCATACAATAAATAATAGCTTCCCCTTGTTCACTGAAGTAATAAAAACAAAGAATTTGGTTGTCAAGAGCTCACAATTTTAAAAATTTGTTTCAGAATCTCAAAACGTTAATGAATTTCCTTAAGTCCTGTTTTTGGACTGAGAATTAATAGTGCTAGGGAAAATATTTTCACGGTATAAATAGCTTATAAGGAAAATTTACATTGCCAGAATGTTTTTAACAAATTAATACGGATTATATCATGTGCTAGCTCACTGAATAATATAATTATCCTAACTAATTGATCATGCATCCGATGGGTTTTGGAAAGGTGTGACCCTTAGCTAACAGGTTAGAGTCAAGAATAATTTCATGAAATATGTTTTTATTCATGCCACTTGAAACTTAGTCACTTCTGTGTATGTCTGATCAGTCAATGTATTAAATATATTATTTGGCAGACTAAACTACATATCTAGATGAGATTATAAAATAAGCCCAGATGTCCAGACAAGGTTTAAAGGTCTGCTCTATCAAATACTATTATAAATTAGCCAGTCTCTACTTTTATGTTACTTTTTATAAAACATCAATTTATACCACTTTTCTGTTCTATTCTTCAAATATTCAACTTGAATTTTTAGTATGCTTTTCCTAAAAGCAAAACAAAACAAAACCTTCCTTTACTAATTCTATAAAGAAACAAATTTATATTTTGCCAGTCTGGAATACCCGTGTGGCGAATTAGGAAATCAAAGAACAAAGCTATCTTTCAGTTCTCTACCATCACCCAGAAGTCAGTAATTACGAAGCTGAAATATATCAGTGTCTTAAGAATATTCTTTCTGTATCGATCTTGAGAATCTGAAATTCTTCCTAGTAGCCCATTACAATAATTGTAAACCTTAACCGTTAGAAAACTATTTAACGATTCAGAAATCAGGGAGATCAAAATAATTACTTTCATAAAACTAAAAGAATCTCAGTTAAAAACTATTAAAAGTAATACAAAAAATAATGTTTTCAGAATTTATTTAGATTACTATACATTAGAAAAATAAAGGATTGGGGTCACCTTCCCAGAATTTAACATGCATCCTCAGCAGAGAAAGGAGGTTCACATTACCCTCAGTATTTTATGAAGGCACAGACAGTGTTTATTGATCAGATAATATGACGGTTGATGGTAATCTATGGAAGATGTTGTTCTGAGTGAAATAAAAATGTTTTATGAAAAAAATGAACTAAGAAAAAAATAGGGAAAACATACTTTGCAGAGCTATACTCTTCCATTCTACAGTTGTCACTTAAACTGGTTACTGCACATGCTCTGTTCTCTATTAATTCAGAGACCTTCTGTTTTCCCAAGCTGGCTGTCCACTTACCCTAGTTGTTTTGACTTTATTCCCAGAGGAACAGCTCCATCCTTTCCGATCCGGAAGAACTTTACATTCTTCTCCCTCTAGACATGGCTGCATATGGCACCACCATTTCTGTTCCACTATTGAAGCTGTAAGAGAGAAAAAAACATTGACTCAAGGTTTTCTTCTTGGGGCTGTTATTTCTCTTGTGCATCTTTAAAGAGAAACAAAAGCCACCGATTTTTCCTACCAGTGGGAATACTGGTATTTGAGGTATGCCTCTCTTTTTGTTCAAAAACACAAAACCTTTCAAGATTTTCTAACTAAAATAATTTTAAAATTTTTTATGTTACTGTAATGGGAACACTTAACATGAGATCTATCCACTTAATAAAATTTTAAGTGTAGAATGCAGTATAGTTAACTATAGATACAATATGACAGCATTTTTCATGTGAAAATAGACTTCATGAAAGCTAACATAGTGAAAATGAACTATGCAAATGTGTATATGCATCAATTTATATTAACATAAAAGAAAATGGACCTGTGACCAGTTTAGAGTCAACATTTTATAATCAATATAATATTCCCATGAATAAGATGATTATTAGGAGGGTGGTTATCACAGTTATCATGATTTTTTTACCTGTGTGCTATAACCACATCACAAACAATATATTATAGTAATATGGACACTTAACAAATTACTATTTATGGTAACATCAATTAAATAAAAGCATATAAAGATTTATGTTCTACTATAATTTGGTGAACTCTCAAGGAAAAAAACTAGTATGCTATTGCATCATCATAAAAGTTGATATTTTGTGTGAATTCTATCCACAACTAAATATTTTTTCATATACATGTTGCTATTTTTTTTAATTCTTAAGAACATCCATGGGTTTAAGAACCCATAATATTAATTCATCCATTTTCATCATTCCTTTTCCAATTAATTTACACATACTCAACCTCCCACCATCCACCAAGAAATCAACATTTCATGGTATCAATATCAGATGCACATAAATTTAATGGAACCTCATTATAATGCCTTTTGTAACAGAACTGCATAATATTTTAGACCTTCCTCCACAGGATTTTAGATTTCAAAATGCCACCCAAATATTCCATTTTCAACTTATTATGCTATTTGTAGTATGTTCACCCAGGACTGATCCCCCATTGAGAGCGTTATAGTGGGGTTCCAGTTCTAAGCCATCCTTGGCTGTGCTGTCACAGTAAGGAATGGAAGAAGTCGCACCATCCACACATGATGGAGCAGCTCGCGTGGTGCCTGCCACCTGCCCGGGGAAGCAGGAGCACTTGACTGTTTGTGACCGTTCTTCTATCTTGTTCTTATTACAGCATCTGTGGAGTGCCACCACCTCACAAGTTCCCGTTTTAACATGGTGAGCTGCACAAACAAAAACAAAAGATAAGACAACATTGAGAAAGCTTTGGACACTTCCTGCCACCCTTCTTTTTAATTAGCAGTACATTAAATATAGCTCTATAAGGCGTCCACCATGCATGAAACGAGAAATACAATGATGCTAACTCCATAATGCCGATCTGATTTCTTTTCTAAATGTGGTAGGAACATTTCTGTCAGTGAATGCTTGGTAAAGCAGGAACAATTAGTGACTAGATTAGAATAAGCTGTTAAAAGTCTGATATAGAGGCAATATGTGCCGTCATCAAAAACATATTTATTTGCATATGACTTTTTAATGCCTTTTTGTTGAATGTGTTAAAGTAAAATAAACCTCTGGCTGAGGTACCCTGCAATGGGACTGAGGCCAGCCCCATTCTCAAAGCGGGTGATTGCTGATAAAGCTTGTGTTACTCTAGGGGACAGTATGAGGACTAGGCAGGAAGTAGAGGCAGAGGATGGACATCCACATCCTCAGTATTCTTCTGCTCAATTTCCCTAAAAATGAACAACTGCAGTGTTCTTGAAATTGCCACCATCTTTCTGGAAGATCCAGCCAGTCCCAGAACCCAGAGTCATTCCTTTCAATTTCACCTGAGTGGGCAACTGCCACCAAATGGTACCATGAACTTGGATAATTCATATCTGGCAGCCCATTGCCTGCAAACCCAGCCCAATAAGCTGTCAGGCTTCCGTACTCATTTTGTCAACCTTGAACAAGGCCACTGAGTGTGTTGGGTTAATGAAAATTTTGGACCTCACTCATTATATTATGATAAGATTCTAGTTTGTCTTCATTATTTTTTTTTCAGCATTTCTTCTTCAAATAGTAATCCAACTGTGAAAGGATAAAACAAAACTTTTGCCTGCTAAAATTAAAAACAGCTTAAAATCAAACATTTGTTAAAAGATTATGCTTTCAGTAATTTTAAAAGTGTAACTCTTATAAAAACAGAAATTACAATGGAAAAGCAGGAGATCTTAAGCTGTTTAATGGCATAAACATATGGAGACCCATTGCAAATGAGATCAGAACATCATGCATTTATATTAATCTTCCCATTGAAGATGAGTGAAATCAATGTGCAGTAACTCAGGCTAAATAGCTTGCTCAGAATTTTTTTTTTTTTTTTTT